TTCTATATTTATTATTAACTATAATAAAACTATCCTCTATAATAATAACTATTAAATAAATAATTATAAACTCTTTATTAAATATACTATTTACTAAATTAAATATATTTAGTAAAGATAAATTATAAAAGGAATTATTATAAAAAAAAAAGAAGTATATTAAATAAATTACTAAGTAATTAATAACTAAGTATTATTATTATAGACTTTAAATCTATAGCGAAAATTAAGTTTATAATAAGAATAGAAGAATAAAATAAAGAATAAAGGATTAATAGATTAATTGAAATTATATAATTAAAGATTAAAATATTATAAAAACGATATAGATAATATAATAAGATTAAAAGGATATAGGGATATAATAATACTTATACGATTAAGAGTCTAAGAGTTTAAACGTTTTACTATATAATTATAATAGATCGGACTAAATATTAATTAACTATATAGATATAGTTTCTCGAGGAGGCGGTAATATTAAGGGTACCCGTAGAAGGCGCTCTAGCCCTGGGCTCCTAGCGGACTTATACTCTGCTAGAGTCCTGGGGCTGGAGCACTCCACTCCTAGATAAGGGTGTCGGCCCAGACACCAATAGCCTTAGACAGTAACCATTTACAACACTCTGCACGTGCCCCCAAGTGAGGTCTAACAGGGCTATAGGCAGCCCCGCATCAGGACGTCCTAAGAAGGATAAGATAAGGACTACTAAGGAATAATTATATAATGGGATTACTAGGTTAGGTGATCCTCGAATAATAGATTACTAGGATATCTAGATTATAGCGATCTATAATCTAACCTAATAGGATTATAATATAATAATAAGCTATCTAATATAAGCTTATTACCTAATAATAAGGATAGGATAGACGGGTATATAAGACGGGTATTCTTATACTTATAGATATATTCTTTCTTACGATAGAATTAATCTAAGTCTTACTTTATATTTATAATAATAAGTACATAATGCTTTACAATACTATATAGTCTTAGAGTCATAACCTAAGCTTCTACTAATAGTAACCCTAACCCTCTAACAGTGTTCCCCCTTCGGAAGCTGCCAGGTCGTAATATATAGGTATATATTAAAAATTAACTTCTTAGGTTTTTAGGAGGATAATAATCTATTATATATTATTAAATTAAGAATTAACTAATAATAATTATATATATTAAGAAAGATTATACTTAAGTTACTCTAAATAATATACAATAGAGGATATTATTTTAAATTTAATAAAATACTTTATAAGCTAAATAATATATAATTTAAAAGGAAAGGATAAATAATAAGAAAATAATAGAAATATAATTCAGAATACCCTATACTCTCTATAAATAGAAATAAGCCTATTTATAAATTATAACCTATTTAGATATTAATAATATATTTAGATATAATAAAGCTTTTTATATTATTATAATTAACTCTAGACTTAGACCCTAATATATTTATATTATTATTAAAATATAAAATTAGATCTAATATAATAACTAAAATATAGTAATAGAAATATATCTATAATTAAGTTAAAAAAAATATATATATATTATAATATTTTTATATAATAGAAAAAGGTATAATATATAAATTAAAAAAAGAATATTTATATATTAATAATTAAAATCACTTTATATTATTATTTATTCTTATATATTTTAATTATTAGTATTTCTATATAATACTTAGTTATATATATATAAGTATATAATCTTAGAAAGAAAATTAAATAAAGTAATTATAATATATAAAATAATTAATAAAGAAGTATTATTAAAAGGAATAATAATAAAAATCTTTTAAGTTTAGAGGTTAAACCTCTTAGAGGGCTAGTAATATAAAGATCTAAATATTAACCTCTTAATAGCGTTTTGTTATTTATAAATTACTATTAAGATTTAAAATTTAATGTATTATACTAAGTATATAATACTTTATAATTGAATAAATATCTTAAGCCTCCTAATACTAATCCCCTATAGAAAGCTGGCCGGTCATATAGGTCTGTGGCTCTAGGACTTTATCTTAAATGATACCTATACTTAAATCCTGTCTAGTAATTACTAGATTAGGTAATCCTGTTTTATTAGTTTAATAACTTATATGAATTATTATGAAGTATTATCTATATAAGGATATCTTATTAGCTATCTTCATTAAGGATATTTATTCGCTCCTACATCGATTATTTTAAAAGCTAAGTCCGGATTTGAACCATGCCTAGTGTACTAGGACCCACGTCATACGGGCTCCTCTCACCTTGTCCGTGGTCACTATTGACTATTATCCGCCATGCTACATTGTCGTTAACGTCGGTGCCGAATATGAGGCATCTCCCACGTTCCACGAAAACGCGATTATTCAACGCGGCTCAGCGAGGGGGCCATGTTTTGGCATGCACAAGGCTGGGCCGTCCTGGCCTGGCTGATGCTGGCCACTTTTCCAGCTGGATCAAGCGAATCCGATACACCGATCCCATCTGCGAACCAGCCGCCTTCGACATGTCACGCCCGGCACATTAATTACGTGACCGACACCTTGCTTGATCAGTGTTATAGGGTTCGTTGGGAACAAGCTGATTCAATCTTACCCAAAGATGGCGATCAAACGGCAGAACACATAGCACACGACCTCTCGTTCCTGGATACAAGATCAGTGGATCGCAAGGAGAATGACGACCAGACTCCTACTGCCTCAGTTGAGCCCACAAACACTGTGGATGCCCATACGGAAGCCACAACATTTATGTCTTTCGAAGACTGGAAGGATCTCAAGGCACGTGAAGCTGCACGTGAAACTCATGATACCAACCTGGACTCTGAGAAGGCTCTGCCACCCCCTCAAGGACATGATTCCAGAGAAGAAAGTGATATAGCACTTAAGGTTGAAGCAGTATCAGAAGAGCTCAGCAGTATTGCAGCGCCATCGCGGCAATCGCTTGCTGGCGCGGGCGACAATGAGCAACCATCGGAACCTGTTCTATATGACGATGGCAAGGCACAGTATTACCGCAGTAAGGATGCAGGGAAGACATGCAAGGAACGATTTTCATACTCATCATTCGATGCTGGCGCTACTGTCCTCAAGACTATTGCCGGAGCGAAGAACGCGAAGGCGATATTGGTCGAGAATAAGGACTCCTACATGCTACTCGAATGCGCCGCGGTCAACAAATTTGCCATCGTCGAGCTCACAGACGACATTCTCATTGATACTGTGGTACTTGCAAACTTCGAATTCTTCTCCAGTATGATCCGTCACTTCAAGGTCAGCGTCAGCGACCGGTATCCCGTGAAAGTTGACAAATGGAAGGACTTGGGCATATTTGAGGCCAAGAACTCCAGAGATATCCAGCCTTTCCTCGTCGAGAACCCTTTAATCTGGGCTAAATACGTTCGCATCGAATTTCTTACTCACTACGGGAATGAGTATTACTGCCCCGTATCTCTACTCCGAGTTCACGGCACCCGCATGCTCGACTCCTGGAAAGATACCGAGGCACCCCCCGATGAAGACGACACTGAAGAAGAACATGTGGACGCAGTCCCGGACCTCACGCAAGACGCGGACATTGATCAGGCACCCGTCCCAACACCTGGCAATAATGAGGCAGATGAAGTCACTCGTCAAGAACAAAGCATCTGGGAGATGTGGTTAACTCTGTGCCATCTTCACGCTACAGCTCCCTGTATCTAGGAGAATCCTCTGTTCTTACATGTCTCGTAGCACTGCTGTTCTAGAAGAAGCTGCATCGACCGCGTTCGACCGTGGACACCGTTGCCACACAAATCGAAGTCAAAAGGCCGACGTCTACGCTGCTACCCACCCGATGCTTTGCCACATCTCAACGGTTGAAAGAACGCTGGACTGGTCCGCTGGATAGGGGTGATGACCCGTCGAGTCGGTCACTGGAATAACCTCTACCGATTCACCACCAACCATGCCTGTGACAGTAATGACACCAAGGCCGACGTCAGTACCACACATTTCGTCTCAGAATGCATCACGCATCACTTCGGGGTCCCCAAAAAGACCATCGCCGGTTGCACAAGCGCCGGCGCGCTCCAAGAACGGCACTTCCACCTCAGCCCCGCCAGCTTCACCAACGGTCCAAGAGAGCTTCCACAAGGCGGTAAGCAAACGCTTGCAGTTGCTAGAGTCAAATGTCACGCTATCTCTCGAGTACTTGGAGGAGCAGTCACGCTTTCTACAGCAATCTCAGCGGGCCTCAGAACGCAGACAACTAGCCAAGGTCGACTTGCTACTAGACAGCCTCAACCACACAGTCTTATCCGAGCTCCGTCATGTTCGCCAACAATACGATCAGATTTGGCAGTCCACCATCATGGCCTTAGAGAACCAGCGGGACCAATCGCAAAGGGAGCTCGTCGCGCTAGGCTCGCGACTGAATGTCCTTGCTGACGAAGTGGTCTTCCAGAAGAGGATGGCCATCCTACAGGCGATACTGCTACTATCGTGCTTGGTAATGGTAATCTTCTCGCGAGCGACAGTCTCGATTTCACCAAACCAGATGGACATGTCATTCCGTTCAAGCCGGCAATATCAATATAGGCTCCCCCGAGCCCTGCATTCCTCTGGGTTGGGTCGATCACATAACAGCCATCTTTCCACCTCAATTGTGGAATATGACCATGAGGGCGATACCCAGCAACAAGGCCAAATCTACGGCACGGATCCCTTCGTCCGAGTCCATCAGCACAGCCACAAAGGCAGCCTTCCTGATGCACGGCGTACATCAGGGCCTCGGCCAGGCTGTGCTCGACTTGCTACCTCACCCATTTCTCCCAGCGAGGATGACTCCTGGGTCACTCGCCAAAGCGAGGATGTTCCCATTTCTCCTAGCACATCGGCGACGCCACCTACAACAAGTGATCGCCACATTGGCCGATCGTTCAATCCACATTCTTCCGAACAAGTTCTGACTCCGACATCTTCAGACGCACAGGACTCTCAATCCGACGGAATTGGCTCGGACCCATCGAGCGAAGATGGCTCCCGAATACCACCCAGCCCCTTGGATAGGTTGGCAAACACGCACGATCTGGGTGCTGGTTTTCGCAAACCGCTTCCTGCACTTCCTGAACATCTCCCCTCGTGAAGGCTGTTCACATAGTCTGTTAAATACCGCGACTATGGCGTCAACACACCGTACACGCTTCACTTTCATGATATATGAGATATGTTTCCACGTCCATCAGCCTGTACAGAAGAGTCGACATGACTTTTCATCAGCTACGTATGAATATTAGACATGAGACCCGCTCAAACTTTGCTGGGCTCTCTACATAACAAGCAACCCTGAAACAATCCCACACATCAGACGCAATCTTATGTGTACAAGTAAAAGAGAAGAACAAAGAGACACTGGAACCCTCCAACATTCCATCATCTAACCGGACTATACTCCATCGGGTTTAAGCCAGGCACAACTGCCAGCCTTTGTGCGTCGCTTTCAGCGGGAGTAATGCATGTATGATTCGTTGGCTGTCTCGATTTCATGCTCCTCCAGTGCTGCAAGTCTTGTGCCGCGGTCGTATTGTGAGCGTCTTCGGCGCTGCTCATCACGGAAGTGTTGGCCAGCGTTGGGTGTGAAGAGACCTATCAACGAAGAAAACTCATATTAGCATTCAGGCCTGCCACTTACAACCTCAAGAGTGACGGAATACCTACCAACGTGTTCTGCGTTTTCGCAACTTCGCTTCATCTTGGACTGATTGTCAGGCTGGGGAAAAGGCTCTTCTTGGCCCGCAAGTTTCGGAACAGGACCATTGGAGGTGTAGAATAGCTGAGTGTGTCTTTGTTAGCGGCGAAGACCTATTTGTTCTCCGAGCCCGATTCACCTTGGGCCGGTAATGCGCTGCCTCCAACATCACAGAGCTATTGCGGAATTTCTGCACCAGGCAATCCTTGCCTTGAATTGCTAGCGCATCATGTTAGCTTAACAAATTGCGGAAACCCGGAGTAGAAGGCATCCATCCTACTGGCATATGAGATCTCGGCTACTTTGTCACTTTTGAAACAGTTCCACCGCTGGTTGCCGCGCGCGTTGACAAACTATACTGGCGTTAGGGAAGAAGTGGGGGCACGGAGGCTTGCCAGGGCTCTCGCCCTGTCGACCTACGTCAATGATGTCCAGTGGCTGGTACTGGTTAGCTTTGGCATCGTGGATTGCTCGAAAGATGACTTACGTCAACAAAATTGATGAAAGCATAGCCCACGCTGTGATCGCAAAATTACATCAGCCCAACGGGCACAAAGGAAGTTGGGGACACAGAAATTGGCAATTGGCGCATTTGACTTACTTGCAGTCGTTGGCAAAGTCGATCCGGAGGTACATGAAGTCGTACTTGCCCCAACTGGAGTCGTCCACGATACGCTTCAGCATTGCCTGGTCAACCTTGTTCGGTATGTTGCGGAGCATGATCTGTCAAGCAATTCAGCAGTATGAAGATGTACGCACTCCGCGAGAGGCTACACGCACTGGTGGTTCGGACATCTGTTCCCTCGCGGATGCTGCCAACGTCCACATGGTTGTGGTGACTGGCCACACCATATAGAGACATCCGGTTGACTCGTGATGCATGTTGGCGGCGGACATCAGGCCTGGGGTAAGCTGGCATCGTGCGTGGCTGACAAAAATCATCCGGAATGCTGACTACCTGAGCATTGCTATTTCCTGTAGCCAGCGTTGCCATGAACTGGTAATTGACAGATGGGGTGGACGACGGGATCGCATTCTGGTGACCATTATCCAGACGATAAGCCGTCATATTGGACTGGAACGGAGCGTGACATATTATTGGCCACATGGCGTATGGTTGCTGGACCTGCAGCCTCCTTGGAGCATATTGCTGACTTGGACCGGTCGGAGGCACCGCTGGAGATCGCACCAACTGTGTCGCAGGCACATGTTTGCCTAGAGTCAACTCTTGCATAGACTGACCAAGTCTTCGCCCAACAACTGGAAAGAGAACTGATGTGCTGTCTTGGATCGCGCTTGGCGAGGGTATATCTTGTCCCTGAAGAGTGGACAAGTGGACTATAATGTCCTGTACACACGTTAGAATTCAATTTCGCACTTCGTTGTTTACAGTCAAGTCACTGGATACCTCAAACAAACAGCCGTTGTATGCTGCCACAGCGGAATAGGCATCGGCTGGACTGGCATACTCTGCCAACGCTGCGTAGACTATGAGCCCAGAACTCCGTTGAGGCGACTGGTACCCAACAACCTCGCCTCGAGATTGAAGCAGTCTCAAAATGACGCCTTGGGTATGAACAATATTCAGTGCACCTGGCACGGGCGAGAACGCTAGTATCGAAACCTGTAGGGTTGGCGAAGTTACAGTGGTGTGCTGTGAAATCTGGTCAGCTTTACGATTAGCTTCCCGAGCACAATATATCCTACCCTGAGCCACTGATCACCGTCAATGCGTAAGGCTTCACAGACAAACCGAGCACGATGGATGTTGTCGTGGACAACAGTGGCACTGCTCGTGCTCTGGAGCCGTACGTACGCTCTCCCACCCCTACACACAATATGGTGTGACTCTAGGTCCAGAATGCCTAGCCCTTCAAGTCTCTACTTGCTGTCAGTTTCGACCCATAATGGCGTTAGTATGGATTCTATCACCTCGAGATAATTGAAGATGTCTCCAAGACGCAGGGCATGGCCCGGAGACATGATCTGAACAAACTGCGAAGTACTGCCTTCGTGAGACGCCAAGTTTGATGCGTTCGATCCCCTAGAGATAGACAACGGATTGGCAAGATCCTCTGAAAGCTCCGAATGAGCTGAGATTGGATGGAAGGCAGAGGCAGTAGGGGACAGCAGCGAGGTGGTACGGGCTGTGGAGTACACCGTCACAAAAGGATCTTTGTCGCCGATAGATGGCGTCTTGCTTGTAATGTCAACGGGAAACTGTGCTATTTTCGTGCCAGCCCAAGGTTTCCCGGTTAGTTCAGTGACACCTGATGTCTTAGACGGTTTTTCGTCTGGCGAGAATGATGTGAGCCTTGTATCAGGTGTACCTTTGAACGATTCCGCTCCGCCACATGACGAATGAGGCGATGATGGGTCGAAACCGCTGACATCGTGGGTTAGTACCATTGCGCGTGTTTGTGTAGGATTGTGGTCGCAGAGGAAAGTGTGCGATGATCTGGTCAACTGTTGAGTTGGGTCGTTGGCCTCTGCGGAAGTTGCACTCGGATTGGGTCCAGGGCAAGCGAAGACTGGTGTTGCGGTATCATCGGGTGATGGAGACGACCTGAAGATATAAATTCGATCTGCGTGTACTCTACTGAGAGAAGTGAAACCATCAACAGTAGAGAGTTGTATGCCACACGCGGGTATATGACCCCTGGGTTCTGGGACATGAAGAGTTCCCCATCGAGAAGCCCTGTGTGTATTTATGGCTTCCTGGGTGACTCATCAGATTCATGCCGTCCATGTCTCATGGAAGGTGTGAGGAAGTCGTTCCTGCTAATATCTGCGCTGCACGTGTGCCTCAGCAGTCTGCTACCGAAACAGCCTGGGCACCCAAGGGTGGGTTATCTTATTCTGAGGGGAACGCAATACCGGCAAAGGGAGTCACGAACGAGAAGAGGGAAAGAGCAACCTTTTTCACACGGCAAGTTCCCTAGCCTCATTGGAAACCCGAGGTTCAATTGGTCGAAGAAGTATCTGACCTGAGGAAGCCACGTCACCTCACACACCATCGGGTGGCCAAGAGAAGCATCAGAACGTAACAGGCATCGGATCCTTCCGCGGC